TGTCGCATTTTAATTTCATTCTCATAAAATAAAACTAAATAACAATAAAACAAATATACAAAAAATACCAAATTAATTAGTCTGTCAACACAAATTTTATGATTGTATGTATGTGATGTCAAGTTTATATGTATGTATGTATGTATGTATGTATGTATGTATGTATGTATGTATGTATGTATGTATGTATGTATGTATGTATGATGTATTATGACCCATCTTGTGGATGTCAATAAAATATTCTGAAAACCCAACTGAAACAGATCAACATTTCTTTTTTGACTGCCCTAGGCGTTATATCGCTAGGATGATAAAAACACTATATGGTTTTCGATTAACACATGTCTCAATCACGTGCAAAAAACATAGTAACTGCGTTTTATCAATTATCAAAGTCCGACACATTTGGAATGAATACTTTAAAATGAACAATATTGAACTGTTTATACAGTATGATAGTGATGGAGCTTTTTGATTTCTTATGTTAGTTTCTATCCATGCAATCGTCCTACTAGAATTCGTACACAGGGGTTCATGAACCGTGACAGAAGTGTTTACGTATACACGCTATACCACAGTGCTCCGCTTTTTGAACAGTATGTGGCGTGACCCTGGTGATACAATCGCCCTTACATATACGGTATATTGAATATAAGGCAGCAAGGAAACATGTTCAAGAACTTTATTTTACTTTTTATTTTTTAAACTTTTTTTATAGAATCATCCGGCTAGAGCACCTTAGATTAAAATTTGTATTGTTTTGTCTCGTTTCAGAATATTTTATTGATATAAACAATCAATATGATTAGACAACATGGTGGTCAGACATAAACATAATACATCATAAGCATACAATTATACACACAAAGATACATACATACATACATACATACAGACATACATACATTCCTACTGACGCACATAGATACACAAGCAGATACATACATACATACATACATACATACATACATACATACACACACACATACATGCAAACATATACACATACATACATACACACACAGGCACACACACACACATACACACATATAAACCTTATATAACATACATACAATCATAAATGTAATATTGACGAACTCATCAATTTTAAATTCTGGGAGACAACTCTGTTATTTTTTATATTTTGAAATTATGATTATAAGAAAAAACAAACCACCAGCTTTCCAGTTTACAATGTCTTATGATATTCATCATATTAAATGTGCATTACATGTACTTTCTCTCCCATATAAAAGGGGTTTGGACCAGAATGTCCATGAAACAAAAGCCCTCTCCCACTTTAGTGAGGGAGCAAGTACACATAAAGAACATTTTTCTGATATCAAGGGATTATTATTCTAAATAAAAAGGATATTTAGACCAAGATAGAGAACTATTCAGTGTTGTTTCCTCATTATAAGTACTAATTGAAATATTGTGAATAAATCAGAAAGAACAAATAATAATAGGGAAACATGTAAATAACTATTAACCGGCATTCATCTCATGATAAATGAAAGTTGAATTGACTATATCTATGGAAGGATATCAATTTTTACAAATTCTATTTTGTCTTAGTTTTAGATTTGTTCTATAAGTTCAATTTATATCAACATCTATCAAACATTGGACATTAAAGCCTTTCTGTATCATCAATATTGTTAACTACAGCATCAAACAATGATTTATTGATATAGGTGGTACAGATTGGGCAGCCATGCCAAACATAGTTTAGTTGATAGTGGTTATGATTATGGTTGTTTAGGGTTTGTTATAAACTTTGTCTAGGGTTATTATATCTAGGGCAGTCAAAAAAGAAATGTTGATCTGTTTCACTTGGGGTACCACATCCACAAGATGGGTCACTTGATTTTAGGATACAGAATTTAAATCGCGAAATTGCGTAATTTCAATGTGACACAAAGAAATCCATAGTTTCACGACATTCGTAACAAATGAATCATTTTCGCGAGAGGTCTGGCGTTTTATCCAACATTTACTCTATAGTTGGTTCACGTGTGTTTTACAGATATGAAGAAGTGAAATGTGAAGGTTTATGCATTAACAAAATATAAGAACATAATTTTGAAGGACTATGATGGATAACTACCAAATGATGGAGATCGTTATAGAATAGCTATGCTTTCTTTTCAGGCTGGAACGAATACTTTCAACAGAGGACTTCTGATGAATATTGGATACGTCGAGGCAATGAAATCTGCAGAGTTCAGATGTTTTGTTTTCCATGACGTTGACCTCATTCCCGAAGACGATCGTATCTACTACGGTTGTGGAAATGGTCCACGTCACCTCTCAGCAGCCATAGATAAATTCAACTATAGGTACTTGACTTTTAATGTGATTGGATGATAGTGCAACATGAGTATCCAGACGTTTGTATAAAGGCTTAGCACAATGATTTTGACTACATTTATAATGCGTAACGTTAACACAAATTCGGCATTGCGTAACTGAATTCGTAACGTTGAAGAAGGACAAATGAAACTTGTACACAAAATGAAAATATGGCATCAATTGAGACAAAATGTACCGATAAAGCAACACATTCCATAAAAAATAATGCATAACAATATGTTCAAATCAAATAAAGATACTTGTAAAGCAAATATACACACATGACGAAATGAAAACTAACGCCTGACAACAAAAAGTACCACAGAAAGCAATGAAAAATGCACCTCAATTCCAATACATACATAAAGATAAAAACAAAACAAAAAACAAAATAAGAAAAAAATGAAACAACACACAATTTCAAAATACACCCGAAAACGAAAGTAGAACGATGAGAATATGGTTTAACTAGCACATAACAGCAGAATGTACACAGCACACAATGACAAAATATACCACAAACCAACACACCATGACAAAGTTTAACACAAGAAACAGCTCACGTTAAAATGCACATAAAATCAATGTACAACGTCAAAATTCAACAGAAAATACAGCACATCATAAAATATCACACAAAAAATCACACAATGACAAAAATACAACTTAACCGACACAAAACTAGAAACACTCTTAACCAACACACAAGAAATTATACCACAAAACGGCACACATAACAACAAAAATGTATCACAAAATAGCATACACAACGACAAAATGTACCACAAAACACCAAACATAACAACAAAATATACTACAAAACACCACACATAACAACAAAATATAACACCAAACACCATACATAACAGATAATCTACCTTAAAACAGCATACATAATGACAAATGTACCACAAAACACCTTACAAAACGATAAAATGTACCACAAAACACCATACACAACGACAAAATGTACCACAAAACATCAAACATAACAACAAAATATACTACAAAACACCACACATAACAACAAAATACAGCATACATAATGACAAATGTACCACAAAACACCATACATAACGACAAAATGTACCACAAAACGCCATACATAACGACAAAATGTACCACAAAACGCCATACATAACGACAAAATGTATCATACTATCTACAATCAATATCACTATCTACCACTTTATACTGAATCTAATATCCTTATCCTTCAAGGCTGCCCTATCAATCCATTGCCGGTGGAGTCACTCAACTACGACGAAATGATGTTGAAATAATAAATGGTTTCTCCAACTTATACTTTGGTTGGGGTGGTGAAGATGATGACTTATCTGTCAGGTATTGTGTCTAAACACCAATTATTGATGTGTCGTCTCACTTGTATGTACATAAAGGAAAGGGGCTCAGCACGCTCAACTATGGTGCTTACATGTCGCAGATGATAGTTATTCAGAGACTGTTCTAAATATTAAAATTTCCGTGCACAATATCGGCAACTGTCAAATGACATAATCGGGTTTAAGATTATGAAAATGTTTGGCTTGTTGTGGTACGATTTGGAGTTGGATGTGTTTGATAATCATTAACATAGCTAGTCATACCATTGTTGTTTCACTTATTTTGATTAAGAAGCATGATATTACTTACTCTGATTCACCAGAATTTACAAAGTGGGTGACGTCGATGAGGGGAAAAAAAATGATCTTCCGAAACACATGGTCTTATTCTCCTTGTATGTTTTTAGGAGTTTCCTTGTGAATCTTTGTTTTGTTCATATTTGTTTTTACTTTCGCCGATTTTGAGGTCGAATATAAAAAATCTGTTAAAATGTCAGTATTTTCTTCTGTAAATAAAGGAATAAGCCGCTAGAAAGATGTTTTAATCTACAAGTGATTCAGACTCACAAGTGCTGGATAATTTTTTATTCTGATTTTGTAATAATTCATATTTATCCTTGTATTCAGATTAAGGAATGCCTCTTTGAAGATACAAAGATACAGTATGACGATTTCGCGCTACAAGATGATAAAACATACCAAAGAAAAACACAATATGCCTAATCCTAAAAGGTACGTTTGATTACAGCATTCCATGACACTTACTATATACTGTCAATCCATTTGATAATGAATGAACGCGAAATATAATCTATTGCGGCAAATTATTGATTCACAGTAGATTGTGTTTATGTTGACTAAAAGACTTTTCCTATATGGGCATATAAGAATACAATTAGTGAAATTACCAATTACCTAAATTATTACTTTCCTTTCGATGCCTTTCGATTTTTTTCAATCGCTTCCAAATTTTAGCCCTTATCTTCAGTGAAGAAACCCAAAGGGACGAACCAGCTCTATACTGCAATTTAATTCATTGTTTGACTCTACTGTATCTAACGCTAAGTTTATGATAAAGGTGCTATTCACTTGTCATCTTTTGTATAATCATTTAACAAATTATTGTTCTTTTGATATAGTCACCCTTCCTCCAGATACTGCTCCAATGCCCCTTGATATAGATATTGTTCCGTTACCTTTCCTAGAGATACTGCTTCGTCGATATGCTCTTGTAAATGCTCCGTCGCCCTTGCTCTGTAAACCGTTCCCTTGACTTTGCTCGAGATAATGCTCCGTTTCCTTTTCTCTTGATACTGCTCAGTCGTCTTTTGTTTAGATACTGCTCCTTCGCCTTGCTCTAGATAATTCTCTGTCACTCTTGCTCTAGGTACTGCTCCGTCGTTCTTGCTCTAGATAATTCTCTGTCACTCTTGCTCTAGGTACTGCTCCTACACCCTTGCTCTAGATAATGCTCCGTCACCCTTGCTCTAGATACTACACCGTCACCTGCACTGTCGCCTTTGCTCGAGATGACCTAGCAGTTTCGTCCATCAAGATAAGACCAGTGCCGATAGAGCAGACCCAGATAACGAACCAAATTGTATCATATCCATTTTCTCTTTCTAACACTTGTCTATGACTTGTCTTATTATCGTCGTACTTTTTAAGGGGCCTCGGTTTAAATTCATTAGTTTCATTTGTTATTATTGCCATAGCTTCAAACAATTTGTGTTTGAATTCAGGTTCCTTTATGTCGATAGTATCTCCCTTGTTATTTTGTCCCGTGGCGTTGTGTATTTCTAAAATATGCGCCATGTTTTCTTCAGGATTGCGTTGCTAGCCACTGCTACTAAGAGGATGAAAACTGACGGGATCAACAGTCTGAAATATAAAGTGTTAAATATAACAAGGGGGACGCTGTATACTAATATCCAGGTCGAAATAGACCAGAAAGATTACGCAATATAGTTATGAATTAAAACAGACAGCGCTAGTGGTATGTGTTCTTTCTGTTTACACATTAAAACATGATACCAAATTCAAGGACATGCCTATTATTCATTAGATTGCCAGGTCACTTTGTCAACCGCCGTATGAGTCTCAGATTTAGTCTAGTTATTGTTATGTATAAATGTTGTATAGAAAACCAAATTCAGATGTGTCGTATTTACATGCATTGCATCATATTGATTGTTTACATAAAAAACACGTTTATGATTATTTGTCAGAATATGTGTAGCTAGGCAGATTTTCCTAGAAAGCTCGGTTACTAGAATGACATGTGTGTTTCCGGAAGTTTCTAAATCTAGAAAGTTCGGTTATTAGAATTACCTGGGTGTTTCCAGAAGTTTCTAGAGACACATGTAAACAAGCTAGGTACCTGCTAGTCTAGAATCATCTAAACAAGATTTTTTTAGAAACCTGAAGTATATATAAACATGATGGAACTCCTATATATAAGGGCAAAGAGGAAAGGAGTAACCCTAGCAATTACAGACCTATCTCAGCTACATCAATTTTTAGTAAAAATTCTTGAAAAAAATGTTTTTACATATCTTTTTAACTTTTTGTCCAACAATAATATTATCTCTAGAAAGCAGTCTGGCTTCCTTACTAAAGACTCAACTGTTAACCAACTGATTTCATTGTATGATTAAGTATTAAAACAACTTGATAGAGGGAAAGAAGCTATGATAGTATTTTGTGACAACAGCAAAGCGTCTGACAGGGTCTGGCATGGTGGTTTAATTCATAAACTGAAGAAATATGGTAAGACAGACAGTATTCTCAACTGGATTAAATGTTATCAAACTGACAGGCAGCAAAGGGTGTTATTGGATGGTTATAAGTCAAATTTACAAACGCTAAAAGCAGGAGTGCCACAAGGCTCAGTTTTGGGGCCATATTTATTCCTAATATTTATTAATGACCTTGAAGATGACCTCCTTTCCCGTGTCAAACTCTTTGCTGATGACACCTCACTATACGTCCTGATAGATAATGATGGCAGACATGCTGCAAATATTCTTAATGACGATGTAAGAAAAATAACTACATGGGCAGATAAGTGGGGTGTTAAATTTAATCCAAACAAAACAGAATCTCTATTGATATCGAAGAAGATTAACCCCGAGGCAGCTTATCCTGTCCTGTCTAACAGTAATGATATCAATGTCAATTTTTTTTAACAGCCATTGTTCATGGGCAGATCATATTAATTATATTTATGAAAATAGTTGCTCTAAACTACAAATTATGCGAATGCTTAAACATAAACTTGATAGAAAGTCACTTGAAATTATCTACAAATCATTCATAAGGCCATTACTTGAATATAGGAATGTTGTTTGGAATAACTGTACACAGGATGAAAGTGATCTTCTAGAATCAGTTCAGTTAGACTGCCTTCGAATTATAACTGGGCTAAGAAGCGGTACTAGTCATAACTTAATCTACAAGGAATCTGGAATTGATAAATTTTAAAAAAGGCGTTACGATCATCAGTGTATATTATTCTGCAAAATACTGCAGCATGACTGTCCTCATTATCTGTATGAATGCATTGTACCATATTTTAAGATTGATACTAATGCCCATCTTAGACACCTTACGTAGAACTAACCTATATAAGATTACTTTTTTCTCAAGTATATGTGATTGTACCAACATTTTAAAGTATGGTGGTTCAAGTAAATATGATATGATACTATGTCAACTACGTAACAATGCAAGCCAACTTAACTATGATTTGTTTATGGATCATCTACCTGATAATCCAAATTGTACTTGTTGTGATTATATTGAAGATGTAGGTCACTTTTTCTTTACTTGTCCGAAGTACGACAATGAAAGACAAATTTTGCTCTAGTCTATATCTAGTGAAATTAGTAATATTAGAATTGATATTAATCTCCTTACAAAGAGTGACATTGACTTAAGTGCTCATGCTAATGTTTTCATTCTCTCCTGTGTCTTGGAATACATAGAAAAATCTGAAAGATTTCACTAGCTGTATTATATTAATTATTATAATACTTATTACTAAATGATTCTGTACAGCTCCTGTGTAACTGGTCGCTAATGGCACTGTGTGTAGTGACATTGACTTTGTAGAGTCATGACCAGCCACATGACCTGCTAAGTAGCTCCACTGTCCTGTGTCATATTCTAACATTTGGCTGTGAGTGGAGGGGGAGTATGGGCTTGTTAACTCATCAGTCATCACAGGCCTGTAGCTTTTGGCGAGGTGTCTTATGGTGATTGATGGAGTCGGTAGACCCATATCACATACCCTGACCCAGAAGCCTATTTGTCACCTTGAAAAACTGAAATAAATACTTTTGTTATCCGATCACTTGCTGGGCGCCATTATGGTTGCTACTGAAAAATCAGTAGAGTTAGAATTATCTCCCTTTGTATACTCGGAATAAAGTTAAGCACCACCATTATAAATTCATAAATTTACTGAAACCTAAACCAAATAATTTTCCGCATATATATACACACATATATGTATATACAATTATTATTTTTTCAAAAATACTAAACAGATTTGAAAGGTGGCAAAATATATTGTGATAATAAACAGCTAGATTCTAAGAGTACATTATTTAAAAAGGCTGAATTATGTATTGCTTCTATATATCCTTATTCATATATTCATGTTTCTTCCTGTTTAACGAAATGTTTGTATAAATGTAAGGAAAGGGATATCATAGGTAATGCCTGTGCCCAATCCATTTGTTAACGCTAACAATAAAATAAGTATTAAATGAAATAATGGAACTGGGCCTGAGGAGCCTTTTTGAAGTACTTACGGCTTGAGTGAGCTTACTTTGAGACTTCAGTCTGTGAAGTGTGGACTTGTACAGTTATTTAGTGATAATGCCTTATGGACATATATACCTAGCGAGGAAACCATTCTTGGATTATTCTTCTGACTTTTGATTAATTAGTAGCTAGCTCTGTACACCATCACAATATTTGTAATTTTATTGCATAAAATTTATTTGTTGTTATTAAGTTGTTGAATTTTGATAAAGCTGTTGGGCTTTGTTTGCAGTACGTTAATTCTGTAACGTAGCATTATATGTATTAGTAGTTTAGCCAGTGGGTCTCTCGTTATTTCCTTATTATATTTGGTGAAACATACAAACGATATGTCTCTCTGCCTGCCTCTCTGCCTGCCTCCCTGCTTGTCTGCTTGCCAGTTTATGTATGTAAGGGAAGATGAAAGTTGTACAGCAAGGAAACTATATTCCAATCACTTGATAATAAATCTATGAACACGTACATTTGTTAATAAATATATCAAAATTTAATTCATCCGTGTTTATTTTTCCACTGACTCAATACATAATTTATGGCAGACGTCAGGATTCATTCTCTGGTTTCTGGTGAATAAGCAGCACATTTCACACATAAAACAAAACCAAAGAATCAAAGAAAAAAGTGTAACTGAAATGATAGAAATCGTTCTATTTCTATATTAATATAGTTTTTGTGTTGTAATTTTATCATATCAGTAAGATCATCCTTGAATCATACTTAAATGTAAACCTCTTTGTTCAGGATTTAAAAAAAAAAAAATACCAACATGTCAATTTGAATCAGGATTAAAACTCAAATTCAATCAAACTAGGTCAAAATATGAACAAAAGAAATGTTTTTAAGGAGACACCTGAAAATACAAAAGAATAAGATCAGGTGTTCCGGAAGAGAAAGCGTCTTAATTTTGAAAGTGTTTTAAGTTCAAATCCGAATACCGAGTGAGATTTTATTGCTTGTAAATGCTTATATGGAATGTAAATGTATTGCCCGAACGGAAAACATGTTTATACATGAGTAACATCTTAAAAACAAGTCATGAAGTATTGTCAGGAGTGATTTGGACCGAATTAGAATTGAAATAGTTTCTCTAAATGTGTGTAATTAATTTATTTTACAACAATTGTGAAACAACTTAAACTAAGTCTTGTTGATCAAGACATAAAAGCGCACGCGGGGTCTTACTGCGGGGGGAAAACCTGAGTAACCGGAGGCAGCCCATGTGGTCGGGCAGATGACCAATTATATCGTCAATTGACATCACTGAAATGAAATAAACACAAACAAGGAGGTGAAACTACGTAAAATTACATTTTGGTGGCAGAAAACATCACAATAAAAGATTGAACATTTGTTTGTTCAGCAACAAGAACATACCGTAGACACTTACTATTTAGTGGTAAGTCTCCTCTCTACATTACTGTAGTGGTAAGCCTCCTCTCTACATTACTGTAGTGGTTAGCCTCCTCTCTACATTACTGTAGTGGTAAGTCTCCTCTCTACATTACTGTAGTGGTAAGCCTCCTCTCTACATTACTGTAGTGGTAAGCCTCCTCTCTACATTACTGTAGTGGTAAGTCTCCTCTCTACATTACTGTAGTGGTAAGCCTCCTCTCTACATTACTGTAGTGGTAAGCCTCCTCTCTACATTACTGTAGTGGTAAGTCTCCTCTCTACATTACTGTAGTGGTAAGTCTCCTCTCTACATTACTGTAGTGGTAAGTCTCCTCTCTACATTTCTGTAGTGGTAAGTCTCCTCTCTACATTACTGTAGTGGTAAGCCTCCTCTCTACATTACTGTAGTGGTAAGCCTCCTCTCTAGATTACTGTAGTGGTAAGTCTCCTCTCTACATTATTGTAGTGGTAAGCCTCCTCTCTACATTACTGTAGTGGTAAGCCTCCTCTCTACATTACTGTAGTGGTAAGCCTCCTCTCTACATTACTGTAGTGGTAAGCCTCCTCTCTACATTATTGTAGTGGTTAGCCTCCTCTCTACATTACTGTAGTGGTAAGTCTCCTCTCTACATTACTGTAGTGGTAAGCGTCCTCTCTACATTACTGTAGTGGTTAGCCTCCTCTCTACATTACTGTAGTGGTAAGTCTCCTCTCTATATTACTGTAGTGGTAAGCCTCCTCTCTAC